CGGCAGCCCCGTGTGCCCGAGGTCGCGGGCCGCAGGGCCGAGGAGGCTCTGGGTGAAGATTCTGGGTCTGGGGAGGCAAGAAAGGAGAGTGCACAGCTGACCACAGGCTTTGACCCAAGAGCGCAAATACGTTGTTAAGAGGTCTTGGTGGCAGGAGAGACCAGAACTGTTTGTGCCCGACCGCTTTCTTCCCAGCCCCGGCCAGCCCCACCCTCCTCCAGTCCAGGTGGGCTCAGTCCCCGCTTCTCTCCCGGCACATCACCCCTTGGCCCTTTTACGTGGGTCTTCCTTAGGGCTCTCGCTCTGTCTTGCTATTGGGACCACGTATGGGGACACACATCCCCCCACCCTGGCTCCAGCTCCTCCCTGGGAACAACTGTGATCATGCAAGGAAGCCAATTTCTCCAAGCCCCACTCCCTTCTTCCTGAGAGGGGGCAACACTCACCTGAGTTTCCGTGTCGGGAGCACTTCAGTCCTACAGGCCGGCAGGTCTGGAGTGCTGGGGAGCTGTGAGGAGGCTGGAGGGCCGTGGCTGCGGGGCTGGCTTTGCTGGGGCTCAGGGCTGTCCTTCTCATCCAGGAAGCAGTATCACTGGCTGAGGCTCTGTGAGAGAGGGTCAGGATTTTTCCTGCCTTCCCCCAATCCAGTTAGAGGGGAAGTCACAGCCAAAGGTCCAGTATGCCAGTGACAGGGAGGAGTCAGGCTGCAAGCATTAAAATCCAGAGTCCTCACTAGCTGTGTGAATTTACCTCTTTAAGCCTCAGTTCTCTCCTCTGCAAAATGGGATGACAGGCACATCTACTAAAACAGGTGTTGTGAGAATTAAATGAGCCAGCAGGGCGATGTGCTGAGCACAGGGCCGGCCCTGTGGTAAATGCATTACATATGTTTGTGGTCTCCCCTTGCTAAATCAGCTGGAGTCCTGCTCTCCGCTGTCTGTCCTGATTCTTGCCAAAGCAGGACTGGATATGGGTGGGAGGGCTAAAGTAAATCTGAAAATGTGTCAGACTTGTAATCACTCTGGCCATTCCCCAGCATTAAGCTGCGATCTGAGGTGAGAATCTGGAGAGAGAGAGAAGGCTGGGTGTCGAGTAGGAAAGGGGCGTTGGGCTTCAGGGAGAAGCCTGGACACGGAGAGGGAGGAGGACAGCATTCTGTCCCCGCTGCTCCGTGCTTCTCTGGCCAAGTGTGGCCGAGAGAGACAGACAGACAGATACCAGACTTCTGTCTCCCTCCAAGCCAAGCGGACGGCATGGAGCCCCTGGATTTGTGTTGTTGAGGAACGTCTTGTGTCAGCAGAGCTTCCTGCTTCTCAGAGCACTTTCGCCCCAGTTACTGATTTGACCCCTGAGGTGGCCCTGTGGGCAGGAAGGGGGAGCTTCCTTAACCTCCGTGAGGCCCAGTCACACAGGCCACATTGCGAAGAGAGCAGAGCCACCTGGAGCTGGGCCTGTGTTTTGTAGGCTGTAGGATCGAGGGTGTGTTGGCTGGAGGGGGTTTGATATATATAAATTTAATCGAGGTGAAATTCCTATGGCAGTATTAACCATTTTAAAGTTTACAGTTCAGTGGCATTTAGTATATTCACATTGTTGTGCAAACATCACTACCAACCATCTCCACGGGAAGGGATATTTTTAATTTTTCAGTTTTCTTTTTTTTCTCAACATTTTTCATTGAGTTATACTCATTTTACAATGTTGTGTCAAATTCCAGTGTAGAGAACAATTTTTCAGTTATACGTGAACATACATACATTCATTGTCACATTTTTTTCTCTGTGAGCTACCGTAAGATCTTGTGTACATTTTCCTGTGCTACACAGTATAATCTTGTTTATCTGTTAAACAATTTTGAAATCCCATCTATCGCTTCCCACCCTCTGCCCCCTTGGCAACCACAAGTTTGTATTTTTCAGTTTTCTTAAAGTTTCCCATAGAAAAACTGTTTCTTTGCTCACGACGCTTCTGACACCAAATGTGTAGAGTTCCCCTCACCACTGCCGTACCAACCAATTTTCCAACTCTCCAGACACCAGCTGGGTGTCCTATCATTTAATTCTGACACCAAGCACCTGGAGTTAGTGTCAGACTCCACAGGCTTAAGGGCTTAGATGTCAGTTGCAAGCAATGGGTTCCCCTAGGTACACACACGTCTATCCAACATGGCTACAAAGTTCGGGGTACCCACTCCCCCTCCAGTTTTAATAATTTGCTGGAATGGCTCATAAAACTCAGGGAAATACTTACTTATGTTTACTGTTTCATTATAAAGGATACAAATGAACAGCCAGATAAACAGGGACTGTCTCTGTGGAGTTGGGGAGCACCACCCTCCTGGCACATGGATATGTTCACCAACCCGGGAGCTCTTGGAACCTCATAGTGTAGGGATTTTTATGGAGACTTTATCATGTAGACATGACTGATTATTACTTTAATCTCTAGCCCCACCCTTCTCCCCAGAGGATGGGGTAGGGGGTGAGGCTGAAAGTTCCAAGCTTCTAATCAAGGCTTGGTCTTGCTGGTGAGCAGCCCCATCCCCAAGTCATCAGGAGCCCAAGAAGAGTCATCTCCCTGGAACAAAAGACATTCCTATCACCCAAGAGATTCCAAGGGGTTTGGGAGTTCTCTGTAAGATGCTCTTGTCACTCTGATTACCAGGAAATTACCAAGATTTTAGGAGCTCTGTGTAAGGAACCAGGGCAAAGACCAAATGTATATCTTTTATTATATCACACCTCCACTTACACATCAGACCACTCCTAGATCAAGAAATCTGTCATGATGAACTATGATGACATCAAATGTGGTTCACTTTGATTTTTCAGGCAGTTCTGCTCTCTCTTTAGGGTCTCAGTTTCTATCAATAGAGAGCCTTCTGAGAATTTTCACTTCCTTCCCCCTGCATTTGAGCCATGCTGATGGAGGCTCTACTGGACCAAGCGCCCTCCAAAAAGACCCAGGTCGGCTTCTGTTCTCTCCACATGGACCACACATTGTGACTCACGGTCATTTCCGTTCCTCTCAAGACTGCATTTTAGTGGCTCAGTCTCCTGAGTCTGAATCTTCCACCCAGAACCTTTCCCCTCCCACACAGAGACATCACCCACTGCAGCCTCACCTCCATCTGCTGCCCAGTCCCCTCACCCCCATCACCCAGTGTGTATTTGCAGCAAGAGGAAGTGATGGCGGTTCCTTCTGGCAGAGGCACAGAGGGAAAGCTGCTCCCTCAGAAAGAAATAAGTGATAGCTCTGCAGTTTTCATGTGGTTGTTTTTCTTGGGAGGAGGTAGGCAGCTGGAAAGGGAGAGACTGGAATGAAAGGAAAGAGGGAGGGGGCAGGAGCCCAGGCTCCTTGCCAACCTGGATAGGAGGAGAGGGCAAATAATTAAAGCAATAGGACCAGTAGCAAAACAATTCCTGGAAATTTACTCTTTCTCCTTCCTCCCCCCCACCACTTCTTTTTTAAAAAATATAGACAAGACATTGTAGTCAACAATCAGAAAGGAAGGAAGGTACCAGGGAGGAGTTATTGGGAGGCACAGATAAAGGCAGGCAGCTTCCCAGGGTTGGGAGGGGGCCAAGGGCTTGCGCCTGGACCCTGGAGGAAGGGGTGGAGCAGATTGTCCCAGGAATCCCCCAACTTGCCTGGCCTTTGTGACCAAGGACCGTACTTTATGTGGTGAGGGCAGGTGGACTGTGGACAGGTCAAGGCTGAGGAGTTTGGCAGTGATAGCACGCCCTTCCCCAGCCTGAGCTTCCAGAAGGTCACTGAGTACAGAAGCCAAGTCCAACCGCAGAAGTTGCTCTGCCCTCCTGCCGTGGCTTTTCCAAGCCAGGAAGGTAGGCTTGTCTACCCAGAAGCACCAGAGCAAGGGCTCCCCAGGCTCCCCAAGACAGGATGTGGCCCAGCGACCCCCATCCTTGCTCTGCTTAGCTCTTCCCTGAGACAGTGGAGAGAACACTAGGTTGGGGACCAGACCTGGCTTTGACACCCTGTTCCACCACTTAGTAGCTTGGTAGCTTTGGGCAATCCACCTTACCTTTCTGAGTCTCACTTTCTTTATATGTAAA